ATACTGAAAACGACCCAGTCACTTCGGTATTCTGAATTTCGAGTAACCTTATCCCACAGGTCATGTTGGAGGCCATCACGGTGTGCGTGTGCATGTGTGTGTAGGTGTGTTGGCGTGAGGTGAGTGGGGCGGGGGAGGGGTGCCTGAGTGTGAGAGAGAGAGAGAGAGAGAGAGAGAGAGAGAGAGAGAGAGAGAGAGAGAGAGAGAGAGAGAGAACGAGAGAGAGAGAGAGAGAGAGAGAGAGAGAGAGAGAGAGAGAGAGAGAGAGGAGAGAGAGAGAGAGAGAGAGAGAGAGAGAGAGAGAGAGAGAGAGAGAGAGAGAGAGAGAGAGAGAGAGAGAGAGAGAGAGAGAGAGAGAGAGAGAGAGAGAGAGAGAGAGAGAGAGAGAGACTTATATTGGTTATAGGCAGGGCTGCGGAGTCGGAGTCGGAGTCGGAGTCGGAGTCGGAGTCGAAGTCGGAGTCGGTCGGAGTCGACAGTTGTGACCGGAGTCGGAGTCGGAGTCGGAGTCGATTTTAGACACCCGAGTCGGAGTCGGAGTCGGAGTCACCGAAAATCTGTCGACTCCGCAGCCCTGCTGGATCTGCGGAGTCGGAGTCGGGAGTCGGAGTCGGAGTCGGAGCTGGTGTTTGAAAGCCGGAGTCGGAGTCGGAGTCGCCGAAAATCCATCGACTCCGCAGCCCTGGAGGGAGTTGGAAACTGCACAAGAGTGCTTGTAACGTTAAGAATCAAATGACACAGCTCAAGCGGAACAGGCCATGTCTGTGAATCTAACTCATTTGACGGTGAGACAGAAAAATTTCGCTCGAGTAAATAAATTGTAACTACCATAGTAGTTACAATTTATTTCCTAAGCCATTGTCGTGCTTACCGATACACGATGAGTCGCCCATGGCGACTAGTACAGAAAGTTTTCTCGTCGGAGAAAACAACGGTGCTCCAGAAAGCACGCTGCCGACGCAGCTGCTCTTGCGCGAAAGCCACCCTTGCCCTCTTGTTGGCTTCACTCAGAAGTGACTTGGAGGCAGCCACTCGGCCAAACAGGCCGGCTGCGTGAAGGCGTCTGCAGGAATAATAAAATCGTCAGCAAACGAAGAAGTGCAAATGACCTCACAGCAGAGTGCAGGTGATTATGATTTATTTTTACGTAACAACTAACAATAAACATTTTAAATTTCGAATGTCTTATGCCAAATCTGATTTTATATGGGTAAAGCACTAAGCAGCACTGCATGGTGTTCAACTCATTTTTCATCGACGCATTAAACGTGACAAATAGCTTTATTCTGCTCTCTCCCGCTCTCCCTCCCTCCCTCCCTCCCTCCCTCCCTCTCTCTCTCTCTCTCTCTCTCTCTCTCTCTCTCTCTCTCTCTCTCTCTCTCTCTCTCTCTCTCTCTTCCTCTCACTATAACATGTGTAAAACATCATATTGACTCATCAGCTACATACATATAATGCATATTCTTATGCAATGCACAAACTTACGTTCTGATCACCTCCTCACAGCAGCGGAGTCCTAAGGCTTCTTTGATTTCTCCCGCAGTACAGAACACGTGCTCTTGGGCATAGCGCACAATACTTGCGTCCTCTTCAGCTGAGGTCTCTCGTGGCCGGCCCCTCCTCCCTCGCCGATCAGACAAAGGCTGATCCTCCAGCCACCGGCTCCACCAGAGAAGCACGGTGCGGTAGTCGCAGCCGACCTGCCGAGCTGCCGCTGCGGCGGTCTCACCGCTGAGCATTAGCTCTATTGCCTGCTGGCGCTGATCCGGCGACAAACGCCCCCGCTGCCTACGGAGCATCTCACTCTTATCGGCTTATGCACCTTCAGAACCGCGCAAAGGATTCAATGCCACTGAGCTGAGAAATACCACGCTGATTAACCAACCCCTAGCAGGCAGTCGAGACCCCGACGGTGACCGGTCATTCGCCAGTCACGGGTGACCTTGACCAGTTTAAGCGTATTGGCCACCGGCCCATCCGGTCCGGTCGGTCGACCCTCGGAGGAGAGGGCATCATAAAACAGCATGTTGTATCTGACCTTTGGCCTTTCCCCGTGCCCTGGTCACTGACCCCGCTCCATGTCGCTGGGCGGTGGCGTGACGGTGGAGACCGGTTCTAGCCTCTACACATGCCGCCATTCAAACCCTCCCCTCCCCACGCTACTACGCGGCGTGGAGTACGCTCGTGCGTAACTGGGCGGAGCAAAGGGTCACGCGATACAGGGGCGGAACTGGTTGCCCTCCCGCTCGCCGAGCGACCAACGACTAATACCCTGGAGAACCGTACGTACGGAAGAACGCAGGAACGCACTAAAGGAACGCACTTGCCCAGCTCGCCAAAAACCGAAACAACGAATCATGCAGTGGAGAGACGAAAAGACGAGAATGGAATCCAAGTTTGCCAAATATGCCCTGCCTGATCTAAAAGTTCTAAGTCCCGAACAGAACGGGCCTAATGGAGCCAGACGTGACGCGTCTGCTCGGGTCAAGAGCTCGGCCTAGAATGTCGGGGGTGCGCGCGGCCCGACGCAGCGGGCCGGGCCCCAGACATGCGCAGAAACACTCGGAGACAACGTGGCGACGGATCGAGCGCGGATTGGTCACTGGTCAGCAGACTGCTGCATTGCAGGCTGCAGACACGCGGTCGCCTCGTGAAAGGGTACAAGGTTCACTGGCGCGCCCTGGGCCGCCCCCAGCACCGGGGGGGGGGGGGGTAGCAACGTCACAACAAGTCGGCGCGCGAATCGGTCTGCGCCGGCCCGGGGACTCCCGTGCCGGCCGGCGACACACGTGGTTGTTACATCCTCCTAAGGGATGAGGCAACGAATAACGAATAACGCAGGCGCACCACAGCATAAACAAACAGTCACAGGCAAACAACGACAAAAAAAAAACGGTCACACATGCCACGTCAAAGAGATGGTCACATATACCATGTCAACTAAACAATTATTGGTCAGGTAAATTATAATTAATTATATTATAATTATCAAATTATATTAAATTATATTAAATTATTATTATTAGATTAAATTATAATTTCAGCATCTACAGCGTAATTATGCATCTTATGCATCTACAGCGTAAGTAACTGTCATTGAAGGTTCAAAGTTCGGAACTTTTTAATGGGCCACCTGGTATACCACGACAGGTAGATGGTCGCACATACCATGTCCATTGTCCAATAAATGGTTACATATGTCACGACAATTAGGAGGTGACATATCGTAAGTTTAATAGACGGTTACACACATTACGCCAAATAGACGGGCATATATGTCACGTCAAATATGGAGAGGGTCACATATTCCAAGACAAATAGAGAGTTATACATACCATAAAAATCAACAGACGGTCACATATGGAGCCCTAACTGTTCACTTAACCATCACAAGCACCAAAACACATACCTCTCTCACCGTTCCGTTGCGAAGTGGCCGGTCGGTGCCGCTCTGCTGTCTCGGTCCGCCGCTGCTGTTTTGTTAGTCAACAAGGCTGTGATGACGCCGTTCCCCGTCCGACACCGATGGCTGGCGAAGAACGTCATTCTGCGCATCCTGGAGAGAGAAGGGTAACGTCATCAGTAGCTGGACAAAGGACATGGCAAACTGGGACCGGAACCTGTGCGGTGATTTTGTATCCAGCTATTATGTGGTTAGGGGATGGAGTGGAGTAAGAGTAAGTGCCAAGTGGGGTGGACGTGGAGTAAGAGAAAATACCATTGTCCTTCAGTTTAAAAACAGCTCCTTGGCCAAGAGCGACGTGCAGTGTGCAGTGTGCGCTGTTTTGGAACGGTAATGATGAAGCATGACTCATTAGGTGACGCATTACTGGGCGATCGATTGAAGGATCGTGGGTTATCGATTGTAAACAGAGAAGATCGGCAGCACCTGTAAATACTATACGTTATACACCAGCGTCCCTCACCGTCTCCCGTTATTCACCAGCGTCCCTCACCGTCTCCCGTTATCCACCAGCGTCCCTCACCGTCTCCCGTTATCCACCAGCGTCCCTCACCGTCTCCCGTTATACACCAGCGTCCCTCACCGTCTCCCGTTATCCACCAGCGTCACCGACCAGCACACGCTCCGACTTCACCGTCCCAGCCACCCACCGCCCGGCCCGGCCACCTGACACCCGCTCCTCTCGCCTCTCCAGCGGCCGCTGCCGGCCGGCCGACCCGACACAGCCTCAGGGCACGGCTCGCAGCGCAGCAGGGGCGGCGCCAGGTCAAAGAGAAGGGGGTAGGGGGCAGGGACGGCGTCAGGCCAAATATGACGGCGGGGGAGGGGTGACATAAGAAACGCGTGGACAAGGAGCCATTGAAAATGCAATGTTTTTGGCCTGAAGAAAACATAAAAAATATGAAATACTTTGTGAAGACAGCATAGAGCGGAAACAAAATTTAGGGTACATACACAACATTCAATAGAGCACAGCAGCGGGCACAGTGAACTCCGTACCAAAAAGTCTTATGTAAAGAGAAGAGCCTTGGGTAAGAAGTGTGGGGGGAAGGGCCAAACATATGGTTCCCCCACCTCAAAAAGTGGGTGGGCATTTGCCCACCTGTTCCCCCCCACGCCTTTCTTATGTCGCCCCTCCTCCGCCGACATATTTGGCCTGACGCCGCCCCTGCTCCCCCGTCCTCTTTGACCTGACGCCGCCCCTGCTCCCCCCCGTCCTCTATGACCTGGCGCCGCCCCTGCTGCGCTCCGAGCCATGCCCTGAGGCTGTGCCGGGTCGGCCGGCCGGCAGTGGCCGCTGGAGAGGCGAGGGGAGCGGGTGTCTTGTGGGCGGGCCGGGCGGTGGGTGGCCGTGGGTGGCTGGAGCAGTTGAGTTACAGTTGAGCAGTTGAGTTGAGTCAAGCAGCTATTTTTAAACTGTAGGACAATTGTATTTTTCTCTTACTCCACCCCTCATTAACCACATAATAGCTGGTACAAAATCACCGCACAGGCTCCGGTCCCAGTTTGCCTTGTCCATTGTCCAGCTACTGATAACGTTCCCATTCTCTCTTCAGGATGCGTGGCATGACGTTCTTCGACGCCCATCGGTGTCGGACGAGGGACGGCGTCGTCACAGCCTTGCTGACTAACAAAACAGCAGCGGCGGACCGAGACAGCAGAGCGGCACCGACCGGCCACTTCACAACGGAACGGTGAGAGAGGTAGGTGTTTTGGTGCTTGTAATGGTTAAGTGAACAGTTAACGTTCCATATGTGATCGTCTATTTATTTTTATGGTATGTATAGTTCTCTATCTGTCGTGGTATATGTGACCGTCTGTTCATTTCTATGGTACCTATGTATAGCTCTCAATATGTCGTGGTATGTGTGACCGTCTATTTGATGTGGTGTATGTATATGGCCGTCTATTTGTTCTGGTGTATGTCACAGTCTATTAGACGTAATACATGTAACCGTCTATTTGATTTGATGTCACCTTCTACTTGTCGTGGTATATGTGACCGTGTATTAGATATGGTAACTATGAGTGACCGTCTACTTGTCGTGGTATACCAGGTGGCCAGTAAAAAAAACGTTCCGAAATTCGAAGCTTCAGTGACGGCTTTAGTTATGCTGTAGATACTTGAAATTTTCGTGAGCAGCAGGCAACATTTCTGACATTGCTCGCTTACGATATCAAGGATTTCTGATTATTATTCTTATTTAATTGGACTGAAAGGAAAAAAGTGACCAAAACAATTTTTTCTCGAACAAATTTTCCTTGTTCGAAATCGTAAGTGCGTGAGATTGGATCGTTCCCATTTCGGTAACAGCAAATCGTTCTCTCTTGGCTTCCATCGTTAGAAGGAGGACATCCTGTTTAGTTCAATCGATCCTAGCTGTTGCCATTCGCAATTAAATTATAAATGTTAATCGATTGTTGGCTCTGTAGCACGCTACATCTTGAACATTTAACGTAGTATCTTTTCGGCACGGCTCGGTCCGGCAGTCCCTCTCCCTCGCAGTCATGCCACACGCCTAGCCTCGCTTTCCCACACCCAATTCCCCCCCCCCCCCCCCAGTTCCCTTAATCTATCACTGTCCGCACAGAATGGGCAGCCGTTAAACTCCCATTAAGACGCGCGCTTTTGGAGACAGCTACCGCAGGATGAACTATTCGAATCCCAACAAGTAACAGCTGGATCAGTAACACTGTCAACAGCTCGTGGACCCACGCCGAGGACAGATAACGGCTGGGAGCGCTGGATCAGCAAGATATGTCATCAGATCATGGAGCAGTGTAAAGGATGGATGCCGGCTGGAGCACACAGCCTCCTTTGTCGGGGTACAACAACCCAGGGTGAGTGACCCGGCAGAACGCCTTGAAGGTGACCTGTACAGCAGCCGCAAGCAATGACCTGTAGTTCCAGATTTCGCCACTGAATAGAAGAGGCAGCACGCTACGGCCACACCCCGCAACCACAAGGCCTGGCGGGAAAGGTCAGCAGCGAAGCGGGGGGTGCTAGCCAGCTGACGATGGGGACACGCCCAAGGTACTAGTTGCCAGAGCTACCGCCAACCGAAGGGTGGCAGCACTATACAGACGCGAGAAACGGTGACAACAAAGGATGTATGATTCTTGGAGATAAAACCATTATGACGGAAGATCGGGCGGAGGAGTAGCTTCTAAAGTGATCAGCCCATACAGTAGCCGCAGGAGAAATGACTGGCAAATCTGAGGCTTGTGGCAAATGCAGGCTTAAATTTTAACGGCTAGCATCAGGTTAACCCATTAGTGCCCAATGTTCCCATTTGGGAACATCGACAATTTTGGCTCTAGGCTCTGATCCTGGGATTGCACAGCGATTATGAATATTGGTTCTGGCATCTGAAGCCCTGAACAAAATTTAGCAGCCTAAAAAACTTGAATTTCACCCTTATAAAGCACCTCTCTTGATTTTTGAAATAGCCCTTTTTTGCCACACTGTACCTTCATCAAGAAAATAATTTCTTTAAAATCGATTTCTTCATAGATTTCCTTATAATTTCCAGTAACGCTTCAACAATAAGTTCCAATTGTACGGGAGAAATATCAAAAGAAATGCTTCGCCACAAAAGCGTCGGGGGCTTCAAAAATTTGGATGTTCCCAAATGGGAACATTGGGCACATCCACTGGTATGTCAGCTCATAATGGACTGACATTGGAAGGCAAAAGCGAAGCTCTTTTTCTCTCTCCTCGCGCTCTCTCTCTCTCTCTCCTCGCGCTCTCTCATATCTCTCTCTCTCTCTCTCTCTATCTCTCCATCTCCCATTTCCTCCCTCCCTCTCTTTCTCTCACTCTCACTTGTTCTCAATTTCCACTGACTCAATTTGCACGTCCTCTCTGGCTGGTTCTGCTCTCACGCTAGGTCCTACACCCGGTGTGTCAAGTGACAGTATCGCTCACGTTACTGATGCTCGGATGATAGAGCGTCCAGTGTCATATCCGTCGGCGCCAATGTCAGCGAATGGAGTAGGGTCATTGGTATCGACGAGTCAAGAACGCTGGGCCAGGTGAGGGCAGAGCAGGGTGCGAGTCTCTTGGGCTGGGCGGAGATGTCGTCCTCCGGCTCCTGGAATGTCTTCAGACGCCTGCCTTGCACCATGTGTTCTTTGACAACTACTTCTCGTCGTATGCCTTGATGATAGCTCTCCGTCAAAGAGACATCCGAGCAACGGGCACTGTGCGCGACAACAGGCTGAAGAAGTGTCCCCTGCCTGACAACAAAACTGCTGAAAAGGCGCCCAGGGGACAGCATTGGTACCAATCCACTAACGGGGTGCTGGCCGTGAAGTGGAGAGACAACAGGGCAGTGACAGTGGTCACAAATCACTCGGGCATCAGCCCACTCAAAGACGTGCAGCGCTGGTCGGGTGACGAAAAGAAGAAGGTGACGGTCAAGCAGCCTAACCTCATATACGAATATAACCAGTACATGGGTGGCGTAGACCTAGTGGACGGAGCGGTGGCGGCTTACAGGCCTGTGATCCGGTGGAAGAAATGGTACGGCACGATCGTCACCAACTCATTCGGTCTACTGAGAGTAGCCAGCTGGCGCATGTACCGCAGCTGCACCGGGAGAAGTGTGGACCAGCTGGTGTTCACTCGCGAGGTCGCTCTGGAGCTCCTAAAAAAACCGAGACAAGAGCCATGTCCGCCAAACGTCACCGGCAGCGGACCAGGACCCAGCAGCGGCCGGGTGACGGTGGTCTCCCGGACTGCACAAAACCACTTCATCGTCCCGGCTGCCACTCAAGGCCGCTGCAAGCTGTGTCAAAAAAAAAAATACGTGTACAATGTGTAGCATCTGCCAAGTACGACCATAACCACTGCAGCCAGAACTACCACACCTAGGCTGCCGCCACGGTGCTGGCACTGCAGACGCATATGTAGTATACACTGATGCTCTGAAACTTCTGACTAATCCCGAGCAACGGGCACTGTGCGCGACACAGGCTTGAGATGATGTCTCGCTTCGACAGGTGAGACGGTTTGGTGATGGATGGAAAACTGGTATCGCTGGCTTGTGATTCATCGTTATAAATGTCTCGCTCTACCGTAAGAGTAGAATAAAACGACTTTGGGTGTCAAAAATGTGTGTTGACAAGGGTCGATCAGTGAAGTGAGACCACGATCTCATTGTGGATAGTGACAAGCAGGGGTGTCGATTTTTCAAAATGGTTGGGGGTGCTCAACCCCTGCACCGGGTGAAAGATTGCAGCTTTGCCATGCGGCACAACCGTACAAGGCAGGGTTGGTTATCCCCATAAGGTACTGATAATGCCGGGATTTCTACTAACATTTCCCAAGGGCAGAACCTTCTTCTTGAAAATCATTCTGCTCGTCCTAGTACTTGGCTACCTTATTACATAAACATGTTTCCGAAAAAAAATCATATATTTGCCGGCAGCATGGCGCAGCCCCGACACCTCTGTAATAAGGTGACAGAAACCAATGACGGCGATTAGCACCGGTGCAGCAGCCGCTGCAGTCCGCAGGGGCGGACATTGCGCGGAGGCAACGGTAGCTACGAGGCTCTGGTGGCAATCAGACGATCCCAATATCGCTGAAAAATGACAGGTGATCGCATTTCGATATTTACGGGTTTACGATTTTCCCCAGTGGCGTAGCCAGGTGGGCCGTGAGGCACGTGCCCCCCCCCCCCCATCAGGTTCGGGCCTCAGGGTCCCCTCGGGTTATTCGGACCTGAGGGGCCCTGAGGCGCCAATTGGCCGCTAAGGGTCAGTGTTGGCCATATTTGGACATAGAAGGGATCCACGGGGCTCGTAAAAACCCCTCATGGGCCCACAAGTACCAACACTAAGATCTCCATAAGGGCCCCAAGCCAGTCTCTGAGGGCCACTTGGCGGCCTCTGAGGGCCCCTTACCGGCTTCGGAGGGCCACATGTCGGACTATGGGGGTCTTAACCGGCCTATTCCAAGCCAGCAAATTTGGTCCTGGCCGTAGCTGGTTTTACTCTGGCTAGTTCCGGCATTTGCTCCGGCTAAAGTACGGGCAAGGTCTGGGGCTCTACTGGAGCTGATACACGATACCGGAGCTCGCCCGCATCACAGCCGGACTTATGCCGCATCAGCCGTGCCGTACCTCCACCGTACTTCAGCCACAGTAAGCCAGAGCAGCTATGAGGTGCAGCCGGACCTGGTCGTAGGGAGCCGGACTTGAGCCATGGCAGGGAGTCTGACTTGAGCCAGACTTGGCCGTTCGGAACCGTACCAACCCGGGAGCGCTACGGCATATACTGGCTAGCCGGAATAGAGCCGTATCGACCCAAACCCCGGATCTGACGGCGATACCCTCGTCAGTTACCAGCGACCCTGACGGTCCCACACAGTTGACTCGGAGGGTCACAGCGGCGTCTGAGAGCACCATGCCCGGTCTCTGAGAACCCCACAAGGCTCCTGAAGGCACCGGTGACCTCTTGATATCTTCTTGTCGGCCATGAAGGGTATATCCGTTCCGTAACAGCAGTTCTGAGGGCCAGACGCGCGCCTGTGATGGCCCTAAACCAGTGTCTCTGAGAGCCCCTACAACGGCGCCTGTGAGGGCCATCACCGGCAACTGTGAAGCACCTACACCGGTGCCTCCGAGGGCCATACATTGCCATATCTGAGGGCCCCGCACTAGTGCCTCTTAAGCCTTAAGGCCCTATA